AAAAGAAATCACCAACAGAGTAAAAAGGAAATCCATGAATTGGGAAAGAACTTTAGCTAACTGTCCCTCAGACAAAAGACTTCTATCTAGAACATATAAAGAATTTTTTAAAACATCAGATCTCCAAAATTAAAAAAAACCAATAAAAACATAGGCATCAGAGATGAATACACACTTCTCAGATGAAGAAATACAAATTGTAAACAAATGCATGAAAAAATGTTCAACATCATTGGTCATTCAAGAAATGGAAATTAAAACAACATTGAGATTTCATCTCACCCCAGAAAGAATGGCTATCATCAAGAAATCAACCAATAACAAATGCTGGTGAGACTGTGGGGGAAAAGGAACATTTCTCCACCGTTGGTAGGAGTGTAGACTGGTACAGCCACTGTGGAAATCAGTGTGGCGATTCCTCAAAAAACTAGAAGAGGTCCCATTTGACCCAGCTATCCCATTTCTGGATATTTTTCCTGAAAAATTGAGAACATCATACCGCAGCAATATATGTGCACCCATATTTATAGCAGTACAATTTGTCACAGCTAAATCTTGGAAACAACCCAAATGCCCATCAGTGGAGGAATGGATAAAGAAGATGTGGTGTTTTTATACAAGGGAGTATTTCTTACCTACAAAGCAAGATAAAGTCAAGGCTTTTATAGGTAAATGGACTCATAATTGAAATAAATCAGGCTTACAACTGTAAACATCATATTGTCTCCCTAGTGTAAGAAACTGAAAGAGTAAATAAAATGCAAAAGGTACAGTAGATATTGTGAAATGGAAAGAAACTGTTCAAAAAGAAAAAACAACTGGAGTGTCTCAAAATATATTTTAAAAGATGAATTATATATGCCTGCTTGCCTGGTTGTACACACGCTAGCAAGTGTAATAAGTAATAAATTAGGTATAGACAAATAGGACTTCCTTACCTCATGTCATTAATTTCTTTCAGGTATGATGTTTTAATGCAGGGTGAGATTATACACTAACATCACTCATGTGAGGCATATGGTTTGATGCTTAGGCAATTACTATCACGATCATAGCTCTTATTACTACATAATAAAATTTGTCCACAGAATATGCCAACACTAAGAAACTTATGACCCCAATGAGGCTTCTCTGAGCTGATCAAATCAGTGCTTAGGGGCAAATCTCATGGATTTGTACAGTCAATATTTTGTTAAAGACATTGGAGTAAAATTAAAGGTGACTTGTTTGCTAAGATAAAGCGTGTGTAACGCTTGAAGTAAAGTTATCTACACACCAGTTTTACAGATGAAATATATGCTCTGAAGAAATCTTACACTTGCTCAAGTCCAGCTGACTTTGAATTTGTCAGCCCCTTTCCCTCTGATTCTCAAGTTGACTTCCTGTCCATTCTACCATGCTCTGGAGCCAATGTCTCAGCTATGCTAAGCTACAAACTGACTTGGCCATTTCTCTGCATAACCAAGATTCTCCCTGATTCTGGCTTGGAAGCTGCAGAGCGTCCTGGCTTCTGGATTGACATCCCACCTGTCTAGTCTAACTCAAGTAGAGTGAAAATGGTAGATGACACTGGAAAGATCATCTATTAATTTAATATCCCATTATTCTGAGAGTACTGCACATATGGCAGAGTTAATTTATCTTTACTGAAAAAAGTACAGTTCTGTACTACAAGAATTTCAGAGTCCTTTATAGTAGTAGGTGAATTTGACAAAAAGCTTTATGGAGGATATTTAGTCTTGTTGTGTGAGAAGGACTGTTCTTATACAAGTGGGCCAAGGTGAGTGAAGGAAAGTAAGGATTTGAATTCATTCTCCACTGTAAATCTCCACCTATCTCTTCCTTTGTAAGAGGAGGAAAAGGGGCAAAAAGTTTTCAAAAGTGGAGAAGAGGAGGAAGGTAGGAGGAATATTCTGGTCTCATATAAATTTAACTCATTTCATTTAGCAAGCTTTTATGGAGCAGTTACTATGACTACTAGATTTAAGGGTTTCCTCCCTTGCGTCTTCCCTCCTCTGTCTTCCTACTGTCAGTGCCCGTTCCTTTCTCACAATGTCCCTATCCCAGTGTTGGTAATTTCATCTGAAAATTAACAATACTACCTACAAACAGGGACGAAGGAAATGAAATGCCTGTCATTGTATGTTCCTATAAAGAAATGTCCACATTGGACCAAATTTATATGAGGAGTTTCTTCCCATTGATCTGCTTATACTTTACCTGCTTTCATTTGTATTTCAAATAGAATATTTGTAAAGAATATTGCACTGGTTTTCTATGTCTAAAAAGTTAGTATTTTGCCAGGTTTGTTAGCAACTACCCTGACAATAAACAAACATGAATTATCCAGCCAGTTCTTTTTCCTCTTTATAAACACAGAAACCACTTCCTGGAGAATCGTCATTCTTTCCAGCTTATTAGTACAAGGGAAATCACTGACTGTAGGTTATATCATCTTCACATCGTGTTTATGTGAACATTTTTGCTGTTATTCATATTTTTAAAAAGAGACATACATGAATCATGCTGTTGATGACCTAAACATTGTTTCTCTATAAAAGAGCAGCCACTAGAAGGTAGGAATAGAAGTTAGTTAGAAAAGGGGTTTTCTTAAGGTAAAGACCATCAGAATGAAGCACTGCACCATCTTCATGCTGTTGTGTCTGCCAGTCTGCTCAGCGTATCCTCTGAATGGAGCAGCGAAGGACGAAGACCCCAACATGGACTTTGCCCAGGTAACTAACGGCAGCGCCCTTTGAAGCCACTGGCTAACCCGAGTGGAGAACAAGTCTGTCTGCTCGCGCTTCCAATACCAAGCAGAATGGCTTGATTAGAAAATATCTTTTTGGAATTATTTGGCATCAGAGAATATCAAAGTGTCGGAGGTGAAAATCCCTTTTGTCTTAACAGAGAAGAAAAGAAAGGCACAGGAAGTTGCAATAATTAATTACTCAAGGTTAGAATAAGAAGAGTTGCAGCAGCTTTGAGGTTAAATGAAAACAACAGATGGGAGATAGATGAAACTTATCTTGCTTTAGAATTACTTTGGCTAAAATTATTGAAGAGGGGAACATGGTAATTTTTGTCTTTATATAAAGGAATAATGTTTATGTCATTATTTGTATGTCTGTTCAAAAGAACTGATCTCACTTTAGTCTTGAACCAGGTCTATACGAACAGTGTCAAATAGGAAAAGCTAGTTATATTCATCTAATGAGTTTATACAATTATGCCAATTCTTTTACTCGGTTAACAAATTAAACTGCAATGAAATAAGAAGCCATTTTAATTAAAAAGCAAATTAACTGTGGTACCTACTTTTGTTTCAGTAAATGGGAGAATAATTGAAATAGATTTTGAAATTGTGATAAATGGTTAAAAATCATAAGAAAACTACTTACATACAAATTATACTTATATCCCATTAGCAATACCTAGAAAACTACTACAACCTTGGAAAAGATGTGCAACAAGTTTACAGAAGGAAAGACAATGGTGCTGTTGTTAAAAAGATCCAAGAAATGCAGAAGTTCCTTGGGCTGGAGGTGACGGGGAAGCTGGATTCTGACACTTTGGAGGTGATGCGCAAGTCCAGGTGTGGAGCTCCAGATGTGGGCACGTTCAGCACTTTTCCTGGCATGCCAAAGTGGAGGAAAAACCACCTTACTTACAGGTAATGGGTCCAAAGAGGTTTTCACATAATACTGAAATTTTATAAGCTGTATCCTAGGAAAAATATTACCTTCTCCATTTTTCTCATGCAGGATTGTGAATTACACACGGGATTTGCCAAGAGATGCTGTTGATTCTGCCGTAGAAAAGGCGCTCAAGGTCTGGGAGGAGGTGACCCCGCTCACGTTCTCCAGGATACACGAAGGAGAGGCCGACATAATGATCTCTTTTGCAGTTAGAGGTAATAGAATGAAATATCCATTTATCAGATGTCTTTGTCAGGTCAGGCTGTTAAAACAAAACACCTAACACTGGTTAATTTACGAACAACAGAAATGACATTGCTCACACATGTGAGGCTGAGAAGTCAAAGGTCATGGTGTCAGCAGATCTTCGGTAACGGGGCACCTTCTTCACAGGTGACACATTCTGTGTCCTCATGTGGCAGAAAGGCCCGGAGGTTCCCTCAAGCCTCTTTTGTAAGGATACTGGTCCCATCCATAGGGCTTCCATGAAATAATAACATCATAAATGTCCCACCTTTTAATACTATATATTGGAGATTAACTTTCAACATATGGAATTTGAGAAGGCACTAACATTCAGACCATAGCATCTGATGCTGTCTGATTGAAAAAGAGTAAGAAGAAATTCTGAATGCTACCATTATTTTTTTTGCACCAGAACATGGGGACTTTTACCCTTTTGATGGACCAGGAGAGAGTCTGGCTCATGCCTATCCACCCGGGCCTGGGTTTTATGGAGATGTTCACTTCGATGACGATGAAAAATGGACAGAGGATGCATCAGGTGGGTTTTAAACCTCTGAGGATGGTTTCAGAAAAAAATGTCTAACTATCCAAGAATGATTTCATTACCCAGAAGGCGAGGTGAAGGAATATTCTAATAACTGAAATTTCTGATTAACTGAGTGGTAGCCAGGAGTATTCATCATTCAATCATTATTGAAGAATTTTGTAAAATGTATGCAATTCTTCCTTGCCCCCAAACCCCAGAGTAACATAAACATCATTCAATCTTATTTTCACGACTCAGGATCTTGTGAGGGTTTAGGACCAGTGTAAGTAATAACGTGTTGTATCACTGTAATTATAAATGATTAATGTAGAATGAATTCCACTGAATCAGTTCTGAACCTAAAATGTGCCCTTGAGGTTTTTCCTTCCTTCTCACTTGCCTCTTTTTCTCTTAGAAGTAAATATCAAGTGAAAATGCCAGGAACTAAAGGACATTTTTAGGTCACCTGTTTAAATAAGCACATCACCATCACTACTTCAGGAACATTTTTTTCCCCAAAGTTGGTTCTGGAAAACCCAACACTTATTAATACACAAAAATTCAAGTTAACTGCATGCTATTTTTTTCTCAAATGAAATTTGGAAACATACTGTAAAGACAATCTTTTTCTGAGATTAGTTGGGATCATTAACACAAATGAAAGAACATCTCCATTGATATAAACCTGAAGTTATGCTGCAGGAAATGATCTAGCATTATTCTTTTCTCATAATTACTTGGAGCATTAGCCAAATGCTGGTAATCAAAGTCTTTACAATATTAGGGAAAACTGAATCTAGCTATGCTTGTGCTGCAGAAAACTGTGGTTGCACAGGTTTCTGTTTTAACCTAAAGATTATGCACACCCAGTGGTACTTATTACCAGGAAATTTTTTTTTATGGTCAAAAATTAGTTGATTATGACAAAAAGGAAAAAGAACAAATCAGGCTAAACCCCATAGGAAACACTATAGTTTTGCTGCTTAAGAGTTTAAGGAATGTATAAATACTTGCCAATTAATTTCAACCAAGGGTGAACCTGGTAGATATTAAGAAACATGTACATGACAACCTTTTTCTTTTTAGACAATGAAGAGTTACATTTATTGATATGTTATTAATCTCGGTCTTCCAAGGAATCACCCTTTGAAAACAATGTCTATCACTGTAAATATACAGGAAAAGTGACCCAGTTTTCCTAAACCAAGAAACAGTTAGTGAGAGGTATAGTGAACACTTGACACACTGACTTCAACCTTGAAAAACCCATGAGTTTTAATCAAGTATGGAATTTGCAAATCAATGAACCAAATCTCAAGTAAAGGAAACATAATGTGTGATTCAAAGGATGACTTATATATTGGGCATGTGTTTCATATGTGTATTTTCAAAATGAATAGCTACTAAGACTTTCAACATCTATGGTTTTTGAATTAGGGACCAATTTATTCCTGGTCGCTGCTCATGAGCTTGGCCACTCCTTGGGTCTCTTCCACTCGGCCAACCCTAAGGCTCTGATGTACCCACTCTACAACTCCTTCACGGACCTGACTCGATTTCGCCTTTCTCAAGATGACGTGGATGGCATTCAGTCCCTCTATGGTGAGAGAGCTTGGAAAAAGTAGACGTTGTAGCCTTGCAGTGATGCTGCATAAAATATTTGTGAAATAATTCAAACCACCTTGAGAAGACCTGGGAAGCAGATAAATTGACACAGGCCTCACATTTTTCCTAATGCTTTATCTTCTCTAATCTCTTGCCTTTAGGACCTCCTCCTGCCTCTCCTGCTGACCCTGAGCTGCCCACTCAGTCCAGCCCACTAGAGTCTGGGACCCCAGCCCCGTGCGATCCTGCTTTGTCCTTTGACGCAGTCAGCACCCTGAGGGGAGAGATCCTGTTCTTTAAAGACAGGTCAGACTGGAAACTTATACTTTCCTATCTATTCTCATGATGTACAATGCTTAGAAAAGGAAAACAAACTGAAACTTAAATGAAGAATTTCCTGTACATTTTAGAATCATATCATTTTGATCAGATTCTCTCTGTGTGTGTGTGTGATACTAGGGATTGAACTCAGGGCCTTCACACTCAGCTACATCCCTAGACCTTTCCAAAAATTTTTAATTTAAAACATGGTGTCACTAATTTGTGAAGTAGCCCAGAATGGGCTTGAATTTTTAATATTCCTGTCTCAGCCCCCCAGAGTGCTGGGATTACTGGTGTCCACCACGGTATCTGCCTGCAATCTATTTCTTATTGCACTTTTAACATCTCTTTAGAATATCCCAGACTATTTTTAAAGACTTACAAAGAAGGATTCTTGAACCAGAACATAAATTCTATGAAGGCAGGGGTTTTTTTTAATCTGTTTTGTTTGCTTTTTAAATATCCTACATCATGGAACTTCTTCAAAAAGTACTACAAATCTTTAGAAGCAAAGCAATGCCTTTATCTTTCTTTTAGAAAGTCACTATTTTAATGAATTGATTTTAGCAAAAAATGTATATGCTTCCACACAATATTCAAATATTAATGAAAGATAGAGTTATAAGAAAAATCTTCCTATCTCTGACCCACGACAACATAGTTGTTTCCATATGTGTAACCACTGTTACAAATTTCCTGTGTGTCTCTGTTCATACAGAAGCACAAAGAGGTACATAATATTTTGAAGAAATATTTATTGATGCACACTATAAGCAATGTTTTATAAACTTTCAGAATGAAATCAAGCTAAATATTCATATTGGAACTGACCAATATTCTTGCCATAGATTTTGTTACCCTGCGATCACACATGGGACAATCCAAAACAGATTTCAGAAAAGGATGTATTAACACTGACTGAAAGAAAAGAAGATTGGTGGTTTCTTTGTGTATCAGTGTTTCTCTATTTATTTAAAGGAGAAAGACAATTGAAAGGAATTTTTATATATATTACAGATATTTGTGGCGCAAACTCCCCTGGAAACCCAAACCGGAATTTCATTTGATTTCTACATTCTGGCCCTCTCTCCCACCACACTTAGATGCTGCTTATGAAGTTAAAAGCAAAGATACAGTTTTCATTTTTAAAGGTAAGTACTATCCACCATTTTTAAATTATTGAAATAAACCCTGTTGCAAAAGTTTCATCAAACATTTTCTTCCAAATAGGAAGGGGAATTCGGGAGGGGGAAAAGAAGGAAGGGAAAAGAAAACAAGAAAAGAGGAGAAAATAGAAACACAGCTTTTATAAATAAAGAGAAGAGAGGCTAAAAGGAATGTATGGGAAATGGGAAAAAAAGAACCAAGATATACCATATACAATTACAAATTCTCTGAGATGAATGTGATCATTATGAATACTTAAAATGTACCAGTAAACTTAATTAATTTTTAAAAGTTTCATTGATAGGAATTTTCTCTATTATATTTTAAAATGGTTCATTGCTGCAAAAACCTAATGTTAATGCTTAGGTGAGCTTTGCATAAAATCATAATAAGCATTATTTTAAAATGTCAGATGCAGACTGAAATAAATATACACATTTTAAATCCCCATGTAGTTTGATATTTTAAAATTTCCCTATAACCCAGGAGTCAAAGGGAAAAAAAACTTGAGCATAAAAACAAAACAAAAATAACATCAAAATTTGTGGAATAAAAGAGAAGAAAGGGATCTTTCTAAGCATAAATGTTTGTATTAGAAAGATAGTAAGAGTGACTATCTTATATTCATGTATATAAAAATTTTAACATAGCTAAACATGTCAATTTATGCACAGATATGACATTTTCAATTCAAATACCATAACAGTTTTCATAGAACCTGACAAATTAGTTCCATAACTTCTGTGGAAAAGCAAAGGTTGAAAGTAGCTCATATATTCCTGAAGAACAGTAAAATGATGAGAACATTTTATGTTCTAAAACATGTTATAAAATCTCTATGTTATAAAATTTTAATAAGTAATATAGTATAGGATCAGTTCAGGGAGAGATAAACTAACTAGTGGGACTATCCAGGCCTTGTGGCTTGTCTGTTAGATTTTTAAACTACTGTTTTAATTTGTTCTCTTGGTAATATGCTATTTGAGCTTCTATTGTTTTTTAAGTCAAGTTATATATTTTTGTAGGAATTTACCAACTTGTCCATTTCCAAATTGATTAGTACAAAGTTTTCAGAGCATTATTTTGTTGTAATTAACTTTTGATGAATTTTATTTTTTTCATTTCTCATATTGATTCTTAACCTTTCTCTAATTTTGTTATTAATCTCAAAGGATATTTAAAAGTTTTTCTAATCTTCTTGCAGAATTAACTTTTGTCTTTGTTGATCCTCTTATTGCCTTTTTATTTCCCTCACCCATGTTAGGGAAGCACTTTAGTGCTGAGCTACATTCTTTTTTTTTTTTTTTTTAAGATAAAAGGAGGGAAACATTAACAGACATACAACATTTTACAACATATCACAAGCACAATACAGACAACACAGAGTTACAAACAAAGTGGTAGGGAATTAACAATGGTGGTTGTATTACATATTGATATCTTCAAAGTGGCTTCTCATGAAAACAGATATAAACATGCAACTGGTCAACCAAAGACTCATTGACAGTTTCTTTCAGCATAGAAATAGAAGACAGAAGAACAACCATGTTAACTATCCTGTATATACATGCATACAAAATTTCTCCTTTCCCTTCTCTTTTCCCACATGAGCTACATTCTTAGTCATTTTTAGTTTGTTTTGAGATAGAGTTGCCCTAAATTTCCCAAGTTGTCCTAAAATTTGTGATCCTCCTGCCTCAGCCTCCCGAGTAGCTGGATACCAGGCATGCATTACTACTCCCTGCTCTATTTAATTAATTTTTGTTTATATTATTGTCTATTATTGCCTTCATTTTGTTTTCTCTGTATTTATTCTGTTTTTATCATTTTTAAGGTTGATATTTACCTTACTGATTTGCAATCTCTTTGTCTTTCCTAATAAGTATTTATGCCCATAAAGTCACTTTCTTCCTCCTTATCCCACAAATTGTAATACATGTTATTTTTATTCTGTTTTTATTTTCAAGTTTTTTCCCTGGCTCATAAGTTACTGGGAATATTTTAAAATGGCAAACTATATGGGGATTTGAAAATACATACTAAAAAAAAAGAAAATACATACTTATTTCTGACAATCTCACTGCTGTGAAGATTAAATGAAGTAATAAAGGGTTGTATAACTCTAAAGTACTACTCCTATTTATAAATTTATGTAGCATTTTTAAAATTCCAGCAATGTGTCAGGCACAGCATTCACTAGTAAGCCAGGGCTGGTATCCCAGGATGGCAGCAGACATCAAGGTGCCAGAGTGTCACACGGACAGGGCTGGGTCTCAGGGAAAGAAGGGAACCATGAGGAAACGAATGATGTGGGCTGACCCTATCCATGACCAAGAGGAGGCAAAGTTATAATGAGACCCGAAAGAGTAGAACTTTGCTGGGAAGAGATGGGCTGGATGTGTCGAGTGGAAAGGTTTTTAAGGTAGAAGGAACTTCTTTATACAAAAGTAAATCATTTCTCGAACGGCTCAGGTAGGTGGAAGTCATTCCACTCCAATGAAGCAAGAGAGATACACAACAGATTAGCATTTTAGATTAGTTGATCTAGCAATGGAACATGATTAGCAAAGATGGGAAAATAAAGGGAGACAGATCGATAGGATTCCACGGTCCCAATTCACTTGAATTTGAGGGGATTACTGTAAAATTCTGAGGAAGCACAGACCGAATTTGGTGATCATGAGTTATTTAGCATTAGGTGTCCAAAAACCAACTGACCCAGGTTAGAAATTTAGATTAAGAAATCACCAATTGTAAGAAATAACTAGGAATGTTTGCTTAAATTACAGAGAACAAATCTAAGGTGCAGAGAAGACAGTGAACAAGAGTTATACACTCATTTGCTCATCCACCTATTCGTTCATTCATTCTTTCATTCAGGAAACGTTTATGAAATGCCCTGGAAACTAGACGTTGCACCAGAGGTTCAGATTAAAACCAAGCTTTCTCTTTAACACAACAATCCCATTATAATCATTTCTAAAACTAAATGGCTTCACTCAGAGTTTCTTGGGTTCTTTTTTCAATAGGAAATAAGTTCTGGGCAGTCAGAGGAAATGACATACAAGCAGGTTATCCAAGAAGTATCTACACTCTGGGCTTTCCTCCAACCATAAAGAAAATTGATGCAGCTGTTTCTGATAAGGAAAAGAAGAAAACATACTTCTTTACAGGGGACAAATACTGGAGGTAAGATGGAGTAGGACTGATGTTCTTTGGAGCCTAATCATGTATCTTTTATAAAGATACCTACCCTCTTTCTCTAAGTTCAAATATTCTGATTATGAGGAAGACAACTGACAGTTTCTCAACTTCCCAGATAGAAAGGCCTTTCAGAATAGTGGTCACTGGGTCGTATATCCAACAGCAGAGGACATCAAGAGAGACCAACAGAGGTCCAAAGGCACGTTTACTTTGTGTCTGATGGCCAGTCCCCTGTGGTTGCCACTGGAATGCCAAGTGTAGCAGACTGTAGAAACAAATTCTACAGGGTCCCATTTTGATAGAGAACCAGGAGTTTACTTTTAGCCAAATTATTTAATTCACTTTGCATCTTGTATGTAGTCCTTGTATATTTGTGACAGGTCAGTACTCAACTACTGTGTGTTCAGGCTTAGAAAGTTGACTTCAAGCATATGCTGGGAACCTCTGAAGAATAAAATATTGTCCCTTTTCTGAGTAGAATATTGTTTTATGTGATGAGTTTGTAAGCCCAAGAAAGTCGCATTATTATTGTAGCCCTAAAATGTTTACCATCTCTTTGAAAAACTTGAAAAATTTATCTAGGATTCCACATTTACTCCTTAATGATCGCATAATGGTATTTCTATAAAATGTTGAGCTGGATTTCTTTCCCTTGGTGCAGATTTGATGAAAAAAGTCAGTCCATGGAAAGAGGCTTCCCAAGACCTATAGCTGATGACTTTCCAGGAGTTGATGGAAAGGTTGATGCTGTATTACAGACATTTGGTAAGAGGACATCCATTTCATTGCCAGTGGGGGTACTGTGGGTATTTCACAGTACTAAAAAGAAGTGAAGTATGTTTTACACTGTTCATATCCTTGCCCACTATAGACTGCTGCTATGAACATTTATGTATAAGTATCTGTATAATTTTATTAAAGCTTATCAAACTGCACACTTAAAATTTGTAATTTTGGGGCTGAGGATTTAGCTCAGGAGCACAGTGTCTGCCTGGCAAGTGCATGGTCGTGAGTTCGATTCCTGGTACCAGAAGGAAAAAAAAAAATTGTAATTTTATGCTATAAAAGATACTGCCATAAAGTTAGTAAAATGTTTTAAATAGGAAATGAAAACTCAAAACAGTTTCCAAATCATTCAGTTGTAAATACTTTTTACTTCCAATTCCTGAAAATTTTAACTTTCCAAATATGCAAATTAACTTTAAATTTTATTTCTCTTGAATAATATCCAAGCCTCTATTTCATATCTACACACAAAGGGCAAAGTTTCATATTTAAAATCAAAGGGGCTGGGGATATAGCTCAGTGGCATAAGCACCTGCCTGGCAAGCGCAAGGTCATGAGTTCGATCCCTGGCACCGAAAAAAAAAAAAGAAAAGAAAAGAAAAGAAAAAGGGTAAAATCAAAGGGTATAGCTTCACACAGAGCCCATTATCTTTCAGGCCATTATGTTGGTATACAAATGCAACCAGGTATAAGCCAGGTTTCCTGATGACTAATTTTCATTCTACTCTGGCCCCTGTTATTTCCTGTCCTATCTCACAGGACTGCGTCTGGGTTGCTGTTGCAGTCATCAGTTGTTTACACTGTCACTATTAGTTACTACTGTTAGTCAGTTGTGGTCCTCCCAAGTGTTCAGACCGGACAAAATTTAACTCCTGCTCATAGGTAGATGGGCAGGTGAAACATGCACTTGCTTGCTCTGAAAGGATTTTGGAGGGAGCTGCCAGGCCTTGACAATCATAATGCTCATGAGGCTGATGACCTGTTACTAAAATAACTTGACCTTAAGGTCTGTGAAGCAGGAAATGAACCTTTAGTGCATTTTATAACTAGTCTGATTCTTTTTTGGGTTCAGTTGCTTTCCAAACTGTGAGATAGTACCCAATAGAAGACGTTGAAAATAAAGGGGAAAATCAAATTTTAAAATACTATAGCATTCCATCTACCTAAACGCAGCAAAATTTCATGTTTCAGAGCACTGAAATCAGACAGAAGAGATAGAAACCTCCCTCCATCTTTCACTAGAAATGTTACCTTGGGAATCCCAAAGCCTTCCTAATTTTCAGTTTCCTCCCCATTCATGACTCCTTGCACTGCGTTTGCAGGTACAAATTAAATAAATCATGTGATACATTCAGCATAGTGCCTAAGGCAGAGACCCATTTAATAAATGGCACCTTTTATTAGCTCACTTGTATTCTAAGTTATATGTGTTGAAAAACTGACACATTGAAGAATCTCTCATCATTTTCCTCATCTGTGTTTACAGGATTTTTCTACTTCTTCAGTGGTTCAAGACAGCTTGAGTTTGACCCTAATGCCAGGATGGTGACGCATATATTTAAAAGCAACAGCTGGTTACTGTGTACATGAGACAAGTAAAAGACAGGCCTGGGCATTTTAAATGAATCGAATAAATATTTACCTAATCTACTGTGAATCAAAATGATAAATTATTCCTGCATGTACAGGGGCCAAAGAAGATGAGACTTACCCATATCTTTATGTGTCACAGAACATTGGCAAAAACACTTCACTTGTTCATGATTACACTGCACAGAAGTGAGAAGTATTCATGTCATAAGGAAGAGAAAGATCTCCGTAGTTGTTCTATTTATTATTTAATAAAGATTTTTATCTTTGACCTGTTCCTTGCTGTCTAGTATAATTCATGTTTAACGCACTGACCACACTGTGCCAGCAGGTGTGATAGGATCTGTCCTCCTTAGATTGGTCCCTCGGCTGTACTGCACTCTCTCCTACTGTCTGCACCAGCAAGAGCTTTATTTTCACCACTATGTTACCTTGGGAAATCCCAAAGCCTTCCTAATTTTCACTTTCCTCCCCATTCATGACTCCTTGCACTGCTTTTGCAGGTACTTCTTGCACTGCTTTTGTAGGTACAATATCTACTTTTGTAGCTATTGTAAGTGTTCCTTACATGCCTGAAGAAAAACAAGTAGGTTGATAGTCGTAGGCAAATGTAGAAAGTAGCCATCTAGAGTGCTGGATCCTGTGAACCTGGCATTTCATCTAGTCCACATCATAATTCTACAAGTTGGGACTTCAGTCACCTCTAGTGTTGGCCCAAATACGTCTTCAGGGGTACGTCTTGCCTGCCCAAGAGACCAGATTTCTCAGAACAGCTTCATTCTCTCTTTATAATATTCTCTTCTTGCTATTTTTTACCTGGCAATCCCTGGAAGATAAGAGATTGTCTGTAGATGCCAATTACCTAATAGATTTTTGACCACTAAGTTGTGTGCTTCATGCCCTCGTCCTGGGAAAAATCATTTCATTTAGATGGATACAGTCTTGTAAGATAGCCAAATAAAGATATCGATAAGGGAAAGGAGCTGAAAAGAGAAACAGATGCAATTGAGAGTCTGGCGGCGTCAGTGTAATCCTGGGAATAGATGAAAGCACGTAAGAAAAGTGCAGGTGGTTTGGGACATAACCTTGAAAAATGAAAGCATCCCCTAGGCTATGCCAGCCCTCTTTCTAGCACTGTGAGGGCCCAGCCATGTGATGATACTTCCCAGATTTCAGTGGTGTGCTCTAACATGCCATCATGATATCCCATTTGGGTCTGTTCTCTAAGTGGTCCTCATTTTAAGATCCAGACTGATAGAAAAGCCACCATTTGAGCTCTGACTTTCATGATGGCAGAGGGAAAGAGTATTAATAAATTTTACATTGACTCCTAAAGTCTTTTGTGAATATATCCAATATGATCCAGTCTTCATGTTGCTAGCCAAAGAAAACACACTGCACTGCCTCATCTAATACCAAAGATGGAACAATTACACACTGTCGTGTGCCTGGGAGGAAATTAGAAATATGTATTAGGCAGTTCTAATCACACTGTATACACAAGAGGCTTATTTTCTCAAAAAATTAATTTTTCCTCTTTAAGTATTTTACACTAATTTCCCAAACTGGAAATATACTACTTATAAGTGACTCAAAATCCAAAAAAGGGAAACATTTATTTAGTAAAAAGTTTTTCTCATTTTCATCTCATCTCAGTTGTCTACCTAGGTGTGAGCACTGGTGTTGATTTCTTGTGAATGCTTCCATCTCCTGTACTCATTGATGAGCACATCCATAAGACTTGTTTTTTACCCAAAGAGTAGCATCCTTTATATTTTATTCTACATTTCACTTTTTCTCTTTTAATACATGCGGAGACTGTTTGTCACTGTAAAAGAGAGCTGCTTCATTCTATTAAGTAGCTACATAATAAAAAATTAAATAAATCTATAATTTTTTTATTTTAAAGAAAATTGTAAAATTAAAAAAAACAGTAGAAACAGTACAGAATTTCACTAAACAAGATAGGAATTTTGTTTTCTGAATTTTTGATAGGATAGTTGTTATGTTGTATACTGTTGTCTTCAAATTGGTTGTTCAGATTACCAGATATAAGCACACAAAATTGGTCAAAAAAATTAAAAAGAAAAAAAATTAAGTATTCACTGTTCCTTTTAATAGATCAGTAGAAATCAGCAATACAATTATACCACCTAAATATGTAATTTCACCTTTCATTATTAGTACACATCTTGACTAGTAAACATTTTCCTTATTAGTACATGTATTTTTCTTTTTTAAAAAAATACTATAATTAGTATCATTCTAAATGGCATTTCACTGTGACTGAAAAATACAATAACTATTTAAATTTTTAAAAATATTTCACAGTAAAAGACTGTCTTATTCACTTTCCCGTTGCTGGGACACAAAGCTCAACACCAACAACTTACTTAAGGAGGAGAGGTTTACTTTGACTCACAGTTTCTGCTTCCAAGGCAGAGCAGAGGTGACTGAGGAGTATGGTGGAGGAAAAGATGTTCAGTCCAAGGCAGCCAGAAAGCAGAGAGAGAAGAAGGGAATCAGGAAAGCGATACACCTTTCCACATCACGCCCCCAGTGACCTGTCCTTTCCAACCAGGCCCACGTCCCAATCTAAGAATTTGAGAGGGGCATTTTAGGTTTAAATCATAACATTCTGCCACAGCCCCCCAAAGATCCACATCTTTCTCATTATAAACATGCACTTAGTCTGTCTCTAAGGGTTGTCCAAGTCTTAATAGTTCCAACATTGCTGAAAAGTTCGAGCCTGAAATCTTCTCTGAAACTCAGGCAAACTCCTAGCTATGAGACCTTGTAAAAATCAAAAACCTTAAATGTTATCAACACACAATGGCACATACAATTCCAAGAGGGAGAAATAAGATCGAAAGGAATGGAACCAAAGCAAGACTGAAGCCTAGTGGGAAAAATATTAAATCCTGCAGTCTCATATCCATTTAAAGGGGCAAGCTGTGGCAAATTATGAGTTCCAAAGTGTTTCTTGTAGTCTGCATTGCCTGTCTCTTGGCGGTGGTTGTGCTCACTGCCTGGGGTTTTTCTCAGCAGATGTTCCACATTTTTGGCATTTCCAGCATCCTGGGGTCCTGTATATTTTGCTTTACTCTCAGTGCTTCACATGCTGCCCTCCCAGAGGCACACTGTCTGGCCTCCCTAGCCTTCTTTAGAAATCTGTTTGGAAGCCTCCATGTCCCCATAGTTCTTTCATTCGTGTGAGTATAAAACCAGCATCATGGTGGATGATGCCACCAACTTGATCAGTAACTGGGCCCCTTTGTTAATGGTAGCAGAGGCCTCTGAGTGCCTGGATGGCTAAGCACTATGAAGCAAATCCTAGGGAACCAACCAGTCCCTTAGATGGCCCTTTTCAAGCAGGGATTCTCAAATGAAAGATTTACAGTTTTGCATCCTTAAGCCTGTGAAGGGTGACGTCTTGCTGATTCCTGAGATGTCTTCGAGGCATATGTCTTACCGTTCTGATGCAAGGTACATGGCTTCTTTTTAATGTTAATGTTTTTAGTAACCATGCTCTCCTTTGCCTTACTATTTCAGGTTCTTTCTTTCTGGCAAAACTGAAAATTTTTCAAATCATTCAGTTCTGTAATTTACCCCTGATTCTTATTATAGGTATAGATAAAATGAGCCAGGAATGCTCATGCCACAGCCTAAACATTCACTGCTTTCAAATTTTCTCTACCAGATTAATTAGTTCACCACCCTTCATCTCAGTCTCCTGCAAAGTCTCAGGACATGGGAAAAATTTTGGCAAGTCTTCTGCCAAAGTGTAATACCATGGTCCTTAGTCAAATTGCTGACAGAGTCTTTGTTCTTAACTGAAGCCTCCTGAGCCCCTTACTATTCACATTTCTGTGAGCACTTTGGTCATCTAAGCTCCAATCAGACTCTCCCATCAAGCTCAGTTTCCAGCACTCTGTTGGTCCCTAATTGGAATTTACAAACCTATGCAAACTTCTCCCATGAACCAGTTCCAAAGAGTCTTGAATTACATGTTCAGGTACAGTCATAGCAAACTCCCCACTCTGAAATTTCTGTTTCAGTTACTTTCCATTGTTGGGACACAATACCTGAAACTCACAACTCAAAAAGGGAAATTTTTATTTGGCACACAGTTTAGTCCATGTTTGGCTGGCTCCAAGGCAAAAAAACAGGCTGGCAGAGAGGCATGACAGAGGAAAAGATGCTCAACTCATGGTAACCGGGAAGCAGAGAGAGAGGGAAAGAGCCAGTGAGGAGATGTATACCTTCCCAGGTCATACCCTCAGTGACCATCCCTTCTGACCAGGATCAAAATCCAAACATGAGAATCTTGCAGGACATTTTAGATCTAAACCACAACGAAGACATTACTGTTAACCCTTTTCAAAATATTCCCCTTCATTTTGAACACAGTTATCTCACTGTTCCTGCCACTTTCTGGAGCAGTTCTGCAAGCCTTCTTTCAAGAATGTCTTTCATTGCACTGTTGTGGCTGCCTTGATATCTTGAGTCCTAAATCAAAAATCAATTCAAATTATTCACCTTTATACTTACTTTCACTTTTGCTTCAAAAGAAGAAAAGAAAAGAACCCCTGCCACCACCAAACCAGCACATTATTCTGATAGATACAGTGTGATCTCGGCAACTGGACCAGGGAGAGGTGGGAAAGCTGGGACAGGAGCTAAAAGAACTACTCCTCTCTAACTGTGCTACTTTCAACCTACTTTTGTTATTGGAAATCTTCTAAGTATGTACAATAAACCTTCTTTAGTTCAATTCAATGTTCCAAAGAAATACCTCTATTAAAAAACATAAAATAGGGAAACAAACCACAAAAGCTATTGCCCACTCTTTCTTTGCCAGCTGGCCATTTCCTTGGACTTCAGGAGCTCACATGCCCTCTCATTTTTCTAGCTGTTTGAAGAGCCAGCCCAAGTGCTCCCAAAATATTTATCATTCTTCACTGCAACTTAAATTCATCCCTCAATAAACTCCAACTCCCTTGGATTATTTACCACTCTTACTCAAGGGCACAATAATTAATATGGAGTGCGTACTCACTAAATGAGTAATGAATGATGAATAAATTAATCCCGGGATCTAATGAGGAAGTAATGTTTGACCTTAGTGATAAATTAATGAATAAATTAATCCTTGGGTCTAGTGAGGAAGTAATGTTTGACCTTAGCATGAATAATGAGTAGGAGTTGTCAGGCCACAAGTCTGGAGAGAAAAAGAATTTCAAGCAAGTGCATGAGCAATGGGATGGAGATATTAGAT